CAATGATTAATCAGGTGTAATAAGCCTATTATGTTGAGCAGTGTCTTCTATTAGAATCGTTATGTTCCCGTCTTGTCCTTACTCTCATGGTGGGTAGAGTAAATAGTTCCGTAATTTGGGTGTTCACGGTAGGTTGTTCTATTTTTATGTGGATTGCTTCAAGAATTTGTAATCTTCTTACATCTTGGGTTTTGTCTATTATACAAGTGTTTATATTCAGTATTTCTCTTGTTAGGGTGATGTCATGGGCTTGTCTCATGTGATATCTGGGGCCACCGAACTGAAGATGACAGACATGTCAAACGCCTCATCAGCTTGGTCGACGTCATACCTATGTACTTAGATTGAAGGTTACATCCTTCGTGGGGGCAAGTGTACATGTATACAACGCTTGACTGCTTTAAAGGGTTCTCCGTCAGCTTCGGGCTGTTTTTAATAAGGAGGTCGATAGTTGTCTTTGTTTTATAGAATATGATCAGGTCTATGTTTTGATTGGGAATAGTGCTTTTTATTCCTTTACGGATTATTCCTTTCATTATTCTTTCTTCTTCTTATGTTCACTGTGCGTGGTTGATTTGTAATATAATTTTATTGGAGGTGTTGTGGTTTCTGTTCTAGGTTCAGGATTGTACCATCGGTCCAGGTGGACCGATGGTACAATCTTTTTTCTTCACCTCGAAAAACGACCATGACTTTTGGAGAACTCCTCTTCCAATTAAACACTGATGCAAGAATACTAGTTAGAGGGATAGAAGCCCTAAACCAGAAGATAGTTAATACAGAATATGCGCTCATATTCAATGAGACATGTACAAAAGAAAACCTGCTGCTAGTATTATTTATTATTATATATATATATATATATATATATATATATATATATATATATATCTGAAAACTCACACCCCAGAAGTGACTCGAACCCATACTCCCACAACTGGTATGTACAGGGACGCCTTAATCCGCTTGACCATCACGACCGGACAATAAGGAAGTGATAGCCGAGGCTATATGAACCACTTCCCCGCCGGCACTCGGATGGTAATCTTGGGCATAGCATTTTATCAAATCACCTCATTCTTTGGGGCACACGTGAGGAACACAAATGCAAACAAGCCTGAATGGTCCCCAGGACTATATACAACTGAAAACTCACACCCCAGAAGTGACTCGAACCCATACTCCCACAACTGGTATGTACAGGGACGCCTTAATCCGCTTGACCATCACGACCGGACAATAAGGAAGTGATAGCCGAGGCTATATGAACCACTTCCCCGCCGGCACTCGGATGGTAATCTTGGGCATAGCATTTTATCAAATCACCTCATTCTTTGGGGCACACGTGAGGAACACAAATGCAAACAAGCCTGAATGGTCCCCAGGACTATATACAACTGAAAACTCACACCCCAGAAGTGACTCGAACCCATACTCCCACAACTGGTATGTACAGGGACGCCTTAATCCGCTTGACCATCACGACCGGACAATAAGGAAGTGATAGCCGAGGCTATATGAACCACTTCCCCGCCGGCACTCGGATGGTAATCTTGGGCATAGCATTTTATCAAATCACCTCATTCTTTGGGGCACACGTGAGGAACACAAATGCAAACAAGCCTGAATGGTCCCCAGGACTATATACAACTGAAAACTCACACCCCAGAAGTGACTCGAACCCATACTCCCACAACTGGTATGTACAGGGACGCCTTAATCCGCTTGACCATCACGACCGGACAATAAGGAAGTGATAGCCGAGGCTATATGAACCACTTCCCCGCCGGCACTCGGATGGTAATCTTGGGCATAGCATTTTATCAAATCACCTCATTCTTTGGGGCACACGTGAGGAACACAAATGCAAACAAGCCTGAATGGTCCCCAGGACTATATACAACTGAAAACTCACACCCCAGAAGTGACTCGAACCCATACTCCCACAACTGGTATGTACAGGGACGCCTTAATCCGCTTGACCATCACGACCGGACAATTTGTGTTCCTCACGTGTGCCCCAAAGAATGAGGTGATTTGATAAAATGCTATGCCCAAGATTACCATCCGAGTGCCGGCGGGGAAGTGGTTCATATAGCCTCGGCTATCACTTCCTTATTGTCCGGTCGTGATGGTCAAGCGGATTAAGGCGTCCCTGTACATACCAGTTGTGGGAGTATGGGTTCGAGTCACTTCTGGGGTGTGAGTTTTCAGTTGTATATAGTCCTGGGGACCATTCAGGCTTGTTTGCATTTGTGTTCCTCACGTGTGCCCCAAAGAATGAGGTGATTTGATAAAATGCTATGCCCAAGATTACCATCCGAGTGCCGGCGGGGAAGTGGTTCATATAGCCTCGGCTATCACTTCCTTATTGTCCGGTCGTGATGGTCAAGCGGATTAAGGCGTCCCTGTACATACCAGTTGTGGGAGTATGGGTTCGAGTCACTTCTGGGGTGTGAGTTTTCAGTTGTATATAGTCCTGGGGACCATTCAGGCTTGTTTGCATTTGTGTTCCTCACGTGTGCCCCAAAGAATGAGGTGATTTGATAAAATGCTATGCCCAAGATTACCATCCGAGTGCCGGCGGGGAAGTGGTTCATATAGCCTCGGCTATCACTTCCTTATTGTCCGGTCGTGATGGTCAAGCGGATTAAGGCGTCCCTGTACATACCAGTTGTGGGAGTATGGGTTCGAGTCACTTCTGGGGTGTGAGTTTTCAGTTGTATATAGTCCTGGGGACCATTCAGGCTTGTTTGCATTTGTGTTCCTCACGTGTGCCCCAAAGAATGAGGTGATTTGATAAAATGCTATGCCCAAGATTACCATCCGAGTGCCGGCGGGGAAGTGGTTCATATAGCCTCGGCTATCACTTCCTTATTGTCCGGTCGTGATGGTCAAGCGGATTAAGGCGTCCCTGTACATACCAGTTGTGGGAGTATGGGTTCGAGTCACTTCTGGGGTGTGAGTTTTCAGTTGTATATAGTCCTGGGGACCATTCAGGCTTGTTTGCATTTGTGTTCCTCACGTGTGCCCCAAAGAATGAGGTGATTTGATAAAATGCTATGCCCAAGATTACCATCCGAGTGCCGGCGGGGAAGTGGTTCATATAGCCTCGGCTATCACTTCCTTATTGTCCGGTCGTGATGGTCAAGCGGATTAAGGCGTCCCTGTACATACCAGTTGTGGGAGTATGGGTTCGAGTCACTTCTGGGGTGTGAGTTTTCAGTTGTATATAGTCCTGGGGACCATTCAGGCTTGTTTGCATATATATATATATATATATATATATATATATATAAAATTGTGTGCGCGCGCGCTATAAATATGTACTCTACCACACCTATGCATCCTCACGGTGCTCAATTTCGATACAGCAAGGCACCTTAGTAACACTTATAATACAGCAAGGCACCTTAGTAACACTTATAATACAGCAAGGCACCTTAGTAACGTCTTGTATGCAAATTATCTCAAGTTATTTTAAGTTCAAATCTGACTAGCCTAGTCATAACAGCTTCTAAAACTATGGCTCTACCCTCCAAGGTTCAGGAAAGGGGTCCCAAATGCCTCCAACGCCCAGGTTAGGGGTCCCAAGTGCCTCCAACGCCCAGGTTAGGGGTCCCAGGTGCCTCCAACGCCCAGGTTAGGTGTCCCGAGTGCCTCCAACGCCCAGGTTAGGTGTCCCGAGTGCCTCCAACGCCCAGGTTAGGGGTCCCAAGTGCCTCCAACGCCCAGGTTAGGGGTCCCAAGGGCCTCCAACGCCCAGGTTAGGGGTCCCAAGAGCCTCCAATGCCCAGGTTAGGGGTCCCGAGTGCCTCCAATGCCCAGGTTAGGTGTCCCGAGTGCCTCCAATGCCCAGGTTAGGGGTCCCAAGAGCCTCCAATGCCCAGGTAAAGGGTCCCAAGTGCCTCCAACGCCCAGGTTAGGTGTCCCGAGTGCCTCCAATGACCAGGTTAGGGGTCCCGAGTGCCTCCAATGCCCAGGTTAGGGGTCCCGAGAGCCTCCAATGCCAAGGTTAGGGGTCCCGAGTGCCTCCAATGCCAAGGTTAGGGGTCCCGAGTGCCTCCAATGCCCAGGTTAGGAGTCCCAAGTGCCTCCAACGCCCAGGTTAGGGGTCCCGAGTGCCTCCAACGCCCAGGTTAGGGGTCCCGAGTGCCTCCAATGCCCAGGAAAGGGGTCCCAAGTGCCTCCAACGCCCAGGTTAGGGGTCCCGAGTGCCTCCAATGCCAAGGTTAGGGGTCCCGAGTGCCTCCAATGCCAAGGTTAGGGGTCCCGAGTGCCTCCAATGCCCAGGTTAGGGGTCCCGAGAGCCTCCAATGCCCAGGTTAGGGGTCCCAAGTGCCTCCAACGCCCAGGAAAGGGGTCCCAAGTGCCTCCAACGCCCAGGTTAGGGGTCCCAAGTGCCTCCAACGCCCAGGTTAGGGGTCCCGAGTGCCTCCAACGCCCAGGTAAGGGGTCCCGAGTGCCTCCAACGCCCAGGTTAGGGGTCCCGAGTGCCTCCAACGCCCAGGTTAGGGGTCCCGAGTGCCTCCAACGCCCAGGTTAGGGGTCCCAAGTGACTCCAACGCCCAGGTTAGGGATCCCCTGTTCCTCCAAAGCCTAGATTAGGGGTACTCAACGCCCTCAAAACCAAAGTTATGGTGGGTCTCTTGCGCCTCCAAAACCAAGCCTTCTTGAGGGTCCAAGATATAGGTTGTTGGTTTTAGAACCCACAAGACCAAGACAGGGGACTCTAGTGCCCTAGTGATCTGTGTAGGGGCTGTGAGTCTTCCCAAAGATTGTGTTTTTATATGAAAAATCCCACGGAAAGGAGTAAATTGGAACGTACCTTAGACTTGAATTGCTCCTCGTTGGACAATAATCTTCTATTTGTATTTACCTGTAATGAAAGTGAATTAACAATTTTTTGAAAAATGTATAACATTAAATCCTCCCACACAAGTTATAACATTAACTACATATATGATGAATAATCATATTGTAATTCAGATGTACGTTACCTTGTGGTGAAGGAGGCGGCGCTGGGTGTGAGGTCCGACAGGTGTGGGATGGTCCAACACTGTCTGAGACACGCCTCTACACACATGCGTGTGATTTTCACTCTGGAATTATCATCCAGCACTCACGACTATCTCTCAACACGTCTTAAACACTAGACAAGAAACACTGGATGACGAACGGAGGTGTCGGTATGCCACAATAGTAAAGGCTTTTCTTCCGTTGATTATTAGTAAATACTGAACACTCCTTGGTCAACAATTAGTCACTTACAATATTAGGAATGTTTTCTGCCTGATGTTTACTTATTCTTAACTTATACCCGAAACGTGCACTTTTAGGATCTTGCTAGACACGAAACGAGTCTTTCAAGTACACTGATAACACACAAATTTTCACAATTAAGCTTTCAAGAGATAACCACGTTAATGTTAGTCAGTATCGAGTCCTTACGATTAGGCCGTACACATGTTTATTATGTGTAGTTACACCTCAGATGTTTGTCACACTCACACATAAAACACCCTCCACTACATTAACGTTGGCCTCAAAGCTAATCAACTCCCGGAGGTTTAATAGGGCCAAACTAATAGATTATTGAGCAATCAACAAGTATTATTTGTGAACATGGTCCAAGACTAAAGTAAATCCCGTGTACAGACACCGTGAAAGGGTGTGTCTACTTGGCTTCCACATCCATCACTAACTATAGTTAACGACCAACTGAGCTGACCCGCAGAACTCAACCCGTCTTCAGACCAAGTTCGAACCCGTCCTCGACTCAAGTTAATTCAACCCGTTCTCACACGAGGCTGTTTAAAGCAGCGGCAGTCCTCCCCAGACGCATTCATCAATTTTAACATACTGTGTATTAAAAATTGGTTTGTTCTCATATATAAATTAATATTCTTATACATAAAAATTGTATGTATAGTTTGGCGTAGGTTAGGTTAGGTTAGGTGTTTAGGTTCTGTTGGTAATTATTTGTATTTATAAGTTCGTGGGTGAAGCATTTATAGAACTGTGGTTCGAACAGAGGACGTAAGCGAAGCATTTGTTCCGGAAGTGTTCGGACGGCATCAGTTGTGAGTCGTGTGTAAACCGCTTTTCATTCATAAACAAGGGGTTTGGCGGGTGCATGGAATCACTTTTGGGTCTTTGTTTGGAGGACGGGCTGTAGTATGTTCGAACCACAACGCTATAAATGCTTCACCCACGTACTACAAACACAAATAATCGCCAACAGAACCTAAACATCTAACCTATGCCTATATTTATGCACAATATTCCAAATATATTATAACATTAATTTATATTTGAGAAAATTCCTGTTTTGAATGAATAGCATGTTAAAATTTATGAATGCGTCTGTGGGGTCGACCGCAGGGTGTAATTAACCAACCAGTTCTCGCATACAAAAGTCCAAGCTCTTTAATCCAGCCGCCAAACCCCCTGTTTATAAATGAAAAGCGGTTTACACACGACTCACAACTGATGACGTCCGAACACTTCCGGAACAAGTGCTTCACTGACGAATTTTGTTCGTACCACAACGCTGTAAATGCTTCACCCACGTACTACAAATACAAATAATCTCCAACAGAACCTAAACACCTAACCTAACCTATGCCTATATATGCACAATATTCTAATATATTTTATTATTAATTTATATTTGAGAAAATTTCTGTTTTGAATGAATAGCATGTTAAAATTCATGAATGTCTCTTTGGGGTCAACGGCTTGATGGAATGGACTTGGTCTGAGAACGGGTTGCGTTTTTCACTTATAAACAGGGCGTTTGGCGGGTGCTTGCAATGGATTTTGGCCTTTGTTTATGAGGACGGGCCGCACAACACTGCATTCTACACCAACTGTTGTTGAACCGCTACAATATAAGGACTACAGGTGTTGATACTGTTCTAAGGCTGGACGTTTAGTTTACACAAAATAGAAGTTCAAGGAGGTAACGGCCATAAATAAAGAAGACCATGTCCTTGTTTATTTAATGCTCGAGAAGTATTCCTGCTTCCGATTGACGACCAATGATGTTAGAAGTTATGTCAAATCCTATCTCAATGATTCGATCTTAGAGGTTCCATTTTTCCAGTTCTCCTGCAGATGCATTCGCTTAATCATCTCCAGTACCACTGAAGCATTAAATTTGTCAGTCTCCAGGAAGTTGTTGAACACCAAAAGTAGATGCCAGTACCGGGCGGCTGTCAACTACACATTTCATAAGAGGGCGACAGAAAAAAAATTCTCAGTGCACGAATAAGTGGCAGGTCGAAAGAATAGTCAACTTTGTTGACCAGACCACACACTAGAAGTTGAAGGGACGACGACGTTTCGGTCCGTCCTGGACCATTCTCAAGTCGATCGATTTGGTTAGGAATCGACTTGAGAATGGTCCAGGACGGACCGAAACGTCGTTGTCCCTTCAACTTCTAGTGTGTGGTCTGGTCAACATACTTCAGCCACGTTATTGTGACTCATCGCCTGCAATAGTCAACTTTCAGACCCAAAGACATGTTGTTACAATGGAGTTGCTGCTGGAGTACGAATGATGGGCAGTTCATTAATACATCTTCAAAATTAAGGCCCAGACTCTACGTCGTCTCCACCGCCACAAAAAAAGGCTCAATTCAATTCGTCATATTTAAGTGATCCATTGAAGCAGCGAGAGGAGTGACCAGGTTGTGGCTCAGGTCCTCTTTGCTCGCTCTAGTATCATAACCTTCTGTTGTTGTTGTTGTTGGTGCTGCTGCTGGTAGTGGTGGTGGTGGTGCTGGTGGTGGTGGTATTGGTGGTGGTGGTGCTGCTGCTGCTGGTGGTGGTGGTGGTGGTGCTGGTGGTGGTGGTGGTGGTGCTGGTGGTGGTGGTATTGGTGGTGGTGGTGCTGCTGCTGCTGGTGGTGGTGGTGCTGCTGGTGGTGGTGGTGCTGCTGGTGGTGGTGGTGGTGCTGCTGGTGGTGGTGCTGCTGCTGGTGGTGGTGGTGCTGCTGCTGGTGGTGGTGGTGGTGCTGCTGGTGGTGGTGGTGGTGCTGCTGGTGATGGTGGTGGTGGTGCTGCTGGTGGTGGTGGTGGTGCTGCTGGTGGTGGTGGTGGTGCTGGTGGTGGTGGTGGTGGTGGTGGTGGTGCTGCTGCTGCTGGTGGTGGTGGTGCTGCTGGTGGTGGTGGTGCTGGTGGTGGTGGTGCTGCTGGTGGTGGTGGTGGTGGTGGTGCTGCTGCTGGTGGTGGTGCTGCTGCTGGTGGTGGTGCTGCTGCTGGTGGTGGTGCTGCTGCTGGTGGTGGTGGTGGTGCTGCTGCTGCTGCTGCTGCTGGTGGTGGTGGTGGTGGTGGTGGTGCTGCTGCTGCTGCTGCTGGTGGTGGTGGTGGTGGTGGTGGTGCTGCTGCTGGCTGCTGGTGGTGGTGGTGGTGCTGCTGGTGGTGGTGGTGGTGGTGGTGCTGCTGCTGGTGGTGCTGCTGCTGCTGGTGGTGGTGGTGGTGGTGGTGCTGCTGCTGCATGTCGGAAAAAACGACACCATTTACTACCAAATTCATTCAAAGAAAACGAGATTGCAGTGGAATTTTTCCCCGGAAGAAAACGGGTATCATAGCCATGTCGCCATTAAATTCACCAGCTAATAATATCAGGAATTCTTCTTAAAACATCAGTCTCTGGACTGTAAACATCATAAAAACATTTCCCTTGAACCAACTAATTAATTATCAGTACTAAAATAGATCAAATATGAGCTCTCTTTCCACTCCTTGATAAAACTCGCCTGAAGAAGAAGTCGGATGTGTGAGTGGGAGAGGCAGGCGGCCATTAATGTGGCATAAACAAAAGTCTCGCTGGAGCTCGTTTGAAGCTCCGCAATTATTTCCCTCTAGACTCGGTGTTGTGGGATGTAAACAGCTCCCATCATCACCCCGGGGAGCCGGTCGGCCGAGCGGACAGCACGCTGGATTTGTGATCCTGTGGTCCTGGGTTCGATCCCAGGCGCCGGCGAGAAACAATGGGCAGAGTTTCTTTCACCCTATGCCCCTGTTACCTAGCAGTAAAATAGGTACCTGGGTGTTAGTCAGCTGTCACGGGCTGCTTCCTGGGGGTGGAGGCCTGGTCGAGGACTGGGCCGCGGGGACACTAAAAAGCCCCGAAATCCTCTCAAGATAACTCAAGATAACCCTAATCCGATAACCCCTTAAATCTAATCATTCCTGGCCAGTAATGTAGATAGATTAGGGTCAGAACGCATGGCGAGCCACCCAAAAAAAGGTAAATATTAATTAAATCTTTTCTAATAAATTATAATAAATTCCCCTGATATAACTTCATATATAGGTTACGATTATTATTGTGGGGGACTTTTGAAATTGAAGGGGAAGAAGAACTAGCAATCAACTGCCTGGTACAACCCATAACATGTGATTACACTAGCATCACCAACAAGGAGTATCTGTCTGTGATCATCCGTGTTCATATCTGGTTGACCATGCCATAGACAGCTATACAGATAAGGCTTCCCCATGTATTAACTAATCATTTGTAGTCTTTAAATCCATATAGGCCGCTATCGAAAGAAAGAAATTATCGTAAAAAATCAATCAATATATAAATTAAATTTAAATTATATATCAGAATTCATTAAATAAATTAATACTTGTATTAAAATTTATCAACAAATCCCACGAGTCAGTTTTCCCCCATACTGCAGCTGCTGATGCTTCTGTTGCGGTGATGCTGATGGTGATGGTGGTGGTGGTGGTGGTGGTGGTGGTGGTGGTGCTCCTACTCCTCAAGGACCACTGACGCTCTTGTCGAAGCAACATTTTATTGGGCGTCAGAATCATAATGGCCGTTCTTGACAACCGCTTATGTTAAAGTCTCTCACCTCAGAGTGAGAGTGAAAACGACGATTGGTCACATTTTGCCCAAATTGATCTGCAGCTTTCAAAATACGATGCCTAAGCCCATCATTACTCAGCAAAAATCTGCAATCAAAGCTATAACAGTCAGTCTTCAGACAACACACAGCCTCTCTCTAAGTCCCTTAACATGCTAAACATTCACTTATTCCACACATTCTCGTGTGCTATTTACATGTACAAAACCTTGTTCCTAAATGCTAATCTTGATCTAAAACTTTTCCTTGATTGGTGTAATCGGCCCAATGAAAACCACGCCAGAAATAAATATCTCTTTGATATCCCCAGAGTAAGACTAAATTTGTGTCTGTTTAGTAAAATCTATGTTTATTTACTCCATGTAAATAAAAGGACCCAGTCATTGGAACTCACTCCCTAATGAATGAAAAAAACTGCCTTAACCTATGCCTTATTCAACAAGTAAAACCGTCGTAAAACATATTTTACGATGGTTCGTAAAATATCCTCATAGTTTCCTACCTTGTGCTTCAAACTCACACTGCACCTTGTACTACCCACTTCCCCAATATTAGTACTTAAGACATATATCTTCACCAGTGTAATCACCTCTGTCAATTTATATTGTAGTTATATGTTGATATATAAAATTTTCCTACAATATACCTTCTCATCTTACCTGATGTGTTAGATTAAGGACCTGCCTGAAACGCTATGTGTGTTAGTGGCTTTTCAAGAATGTAAAAATAAAAATCTTATGTAATCTCACCAACCAATTGCACCTTCTTATTATTAATATTAATATTAATATTATTATTATTATTATTAATTATTATTATTATTATAAATTGGTCATCTACTGATCTTCTTCAAAT